CCATAGTAATTTGTACTCAGTTTGTTCAACTGCAATTAACTCATTTAATGCACCAACACCTATTTATAAAGGACAAAAAGGCTTTCATTTGATGTGACACATGTACAAATATACATTCTCATTTGTTATTAAAGGGGGGTGGAAATGGGGGTGGGGTGGCATCACTCCACATCATTTTCTGCAATAGTGTGTACATAACTAAAACCACAAAAGTAATTAAAAAATGTACTTGTCTTGATAATGATTATATCATGTCTATGATTTCACTTTGGTTTTTATCTTAAACAGAACTATTTATTAGAATGAGTACTTGCATAATTTTGTATTTAAAAAGTCATCCCCCTTTAAAGCACAAATGTAATGTAACCTCAATGTGATGTAAACCTTGTTTTCAAGTAATGTACTAAAATAAACAAATAGAGGATTTGTTAGCTTTCTGATTTTAGTTTCTCTGGAGTCTAGGAAAAAACTATTGCGTCCGTTGTGGTGTGGTGTGTTTTTTTTTTTTTTTCTGTTTGTTACTTCACAATTTACAGGTGCTGAACAAATTATATTATGTGAACCTCCTATTAATTAAAACACAATTGCCACAGTGCCAGGATCTCTCCCCCCACCGCTGCGAACAGTCTAACCATTATAGAATGGCTGACTTTTCCCCTGGTGCTTACCAGGCATCACTCCCTACCCCCACCTGCTAAACCATAGAGCCAGAAGCACTTTCAAAGCCTCTTATTGGCTCTCGTGAGCCAAGCCCTGCCAAAACAGTCACACCATGCACAATGGGGGAAGGGTCATGGTGTAAGGAAAATACCTAGATTGGAGGCAAATTACTTTAGCTAAATAAAGCAGTTTAAGTGTATAGATCATTCCCCTGCAATTTCACTGCTCAATTCACTGCCATTTAGGAGTTAAATCACTTTGTTTCTGTTTATGCAGCCCTAGACACACCTCCCCTGGCTATGATTGACAGAGCCTGCATGGGGGAAAAAAAAACTGGTTTCACTTTCAAACAGATGTAATTTACCTTAAATAATTGTATCTCAATCTCTAAATTGAACTTGAATCACATACAGGAGGCTCTTGCAGGGTCTAGCAAGCTATTAACATAGCAGGGGATTAGACAATCTTAAACAGAACTTGCAATAAAGAAAGCCTAAATAGGGCTCTCTTTACAGGAAGTGTTTATGGAAGGCTGTGCAAGTCACATGCAGGGAGGTGTGACTAGGGTTCATAAACAAAGGGATTTAACTCCTAAATGGCAGAGGATTGAGCAGTGAGGCTGCAGGGGCATGTTCTATACACCAAAACTGCTTCATTAAGCTAAAGTTGTTCAGGTGACTATAGTGTCCCTTTAATGTAACAAAGACCTTTAACATATTCTTATCATGACTGTTTGCAAGCCATCTCTGTCTCCATGAATGACATAAGCAACTTTCACAACACATTTTGACTTTCAGGAAGGAGGGAGAGTAACACAAAAAGGAAGAATTATTTGCAAATATAGGGAATAGCGGAAAAGACCGTGCTGGCAGAGTGGGTACTGCTAATACATTGACAGTCAGAGCCAGACCTCTCAAATTGTACCCCCAATTGATTTTTAGAGTGACTGACTGACCTCTGGGGAGGGGCAGCATTATGTAGCCATGTTACTGGAAATGTTTTGTGAGTGGCAAGAGTCATTCTAAATATGAGCTTATTCATGGAGGTTTTTAGAGCTTCAATTGGTTTGGAAAGGAGACCGGACCAAGAGTTCAGTGTAGACTGCTGGATAACTGATCTACAAAGGCGATCGACCTCTCTCCAAAATGACAATAACTGGATAAATCCACCATGTGTGCACATGCATCCACCTAAGACCAAATATAAGCTAGCATAGATCAGAAGTTGTTCATCCCATGTGGTGCAATATTACTGGGGTGATATACGATCTAAACATTCCTTTATAACCCTTGTTTCTGTAGTGACTTTCAGTAGCCTTGGCAGGGTTTTCCCATGTAAGTCCCGTTACCTTACTCCCAGCTCCTCCTGACTTAAATAAGGTCTTTCCAGTCTATTGTAGTGGTCACAGAGGAGTCTAAATATTACAAATGAGCTTCCCAGGTCTATACTCTGCAACAACTCCTGAGTACAATACCCCTATGTATTCCTCTGCACAGTAACCATCTTAACCCTTAAGGACCGAGGAAATTGTACAAGTTTTAAACAAAACATAATGTAAACAAACCCAAGAATTTGCACTATGTCTGTTCAGCCATATTTCGCTTATTTCATTTTAAGTGTACCCACACTTATTAAGTATTTTGTTCAGGAGCAACCGGGCTTTAATTTCACATCAAATATGTATAAATGAAACATAATTTTAAAGTTCTGCATGACATTGCTTTAACTGCAATAAAATAAACGCGTATTCAGCGGTCGGAGTACAACAGTAACCCCGTGTACTGGTTTTATGGTGTTTAGAAAAGTTACAGGTTAATATAGGGCTACTTAGGGGCTGGAGCCTGAACATGGAGCTGTCTAGATGCATACAACACGTGCTCCCATCTTTTTGACTAATCCTGGGGAAATTATCCAGACTCCTGAGCTGATATAGCTACCAAAGAGCACTAACCACGTCTGGGATATACAGGGAACTCAATTGAGACCTTACTCGAAAATGTTCAGCCTCCAGGAACTTGAAAAGCCAAACTGTGGCCTACTGGACTGCTGCTCTTCTCTCTCCACAGTTCAGAGTGGCACTGCTGAACTCCTACATCCCCACGCACCCTCTGGACTGGCGGGATTATCACGATTCCCACTGGGCAGCTATACACCGCTCTAATCGTACCTTTCTCCCTATTCCAGCCGTTACCAATACTAACCTAGATGGCGTTTCCTAGCCCTCCAGACACGCTCGACCTGGGCACGAACTGTAGAGCACACCAGAGCACCATAGATCTCTGCCTAATGCGGCTGGAGGAAATAATCAAACTTCTGGATGAGACTCTGAAAGCTTGTAGCGCCCGCTCCACTCACACCCCAGGAGGGAGCTCAGAGGTGAGAAACAAAGGGCAGGAAAGCCACCTACTCAGCGGTCTGGACCATGTGCTGGTAACCATATCTCAAAGCAGTAATCTTGTGTCAGGAGAAACCTGTTGAGCAGCAACCTACGCATGGATCTTTGGCAGGGGAGGGCTGGCAGCCTTAGGCCTGGGGGCAAATCCAGTCAAGTGGCCCATTGCACCACCGAATCAGCTCACCATCCATGCCCACTTTTTCCTGGTTTTGTACCGGATATAGGTGTAGTCCGTGTATCAAGCCAATTTTTGTGTACATCGATGGGATTACCATCCCATACACAGTCACAAGGGCTTTACAAATTTAATTGGAATCTAGAAGCCAGCTGAAAGTTAGGAGTAATGTTTTCAATGTGAAATACAATTTTTTTTTTTTATTATTTATTTATTTATTTATTTATTTATTTTGGACACTAATCACCAGAACTACTACAATTTTTAATGTAGCTGTTTTGGAGCCTTTATCCTGTGCCTGCACACTTTTTAATGTAAACACTGACTTTTCAGAGAAAAGGCAGTGTTTACATTGCTGCCTAGTAGTGATTTGGACCCTGGGCAAGCATCTGCTTGGGCCCTGTTGAACCAGGCCCCCTCATGGCATCAATCCCACCCCACCCCAAAAAAGTGTGTGTGTGTGTGTACAGGGACGTATTAGCCGCGAGGCAAACAAGGCATTTGCTTTGGGCGGCATTTTTCAGGGGGCTGCAAAAAACGCCGCTAAGAAAAGCTTAAGGAAAGAAAACAAACAGACGAGAGAATGCCACTGAGTAAAAGGAGCTGGAGAGCATATATAGCCCTAGTCCATGTGGCTGACAGGTTGCGGAGACAGTTCAGCCTATTCCCGACAGGTAGTGTCTCTATAACCAGGGAGTGTGTTCATTAGCAGACCCCGCTCTGAGTTTGCCGCTTGATCTCATAATCTGGGCCATGCTGATGCCCAGGGGGTTATGTGCTCTGTTCCTCTCAGGGCATCCTCCACTTTGCAGCAGTGTCCTTCCTCCCGGCGTGTTAGGAGCGGGGTGATGTAGTGTGTGCCGGCATTGCCGTCTTGAGCTCCGCGTTGCTGCACGGGGATCCCCCCTGTGTTGCTGTCTGTTGATAATTAGCTTGCGCCATGAGCGAGGGTGACCCGGCGGTAGTCGGGGCTTCTGCGCCCTCTGTGGTGTCGATCGGGCATCCTGGCGTTGGGCTGCTGGCCAACTATTTGGTTGTTGTTTCTGCCAAGCAAGGTAAGCGCTGTGGAGTGGGGCAGGTCGAAGTAGCCTGCGCTCCAGCCGCTTCCAAAACCTTTCAAAGTGCCGATTAATCTTCGCAAGGACATCGTGTGCAGCATCGGTGGGACTCTCAGCGCCCGTTATTTCCGCCATCTTGGTTGGAGCTCTGTGCTCTCGCTTTGCCCATGAGGCAGTCTGTGTTGCTTCAGTCCGCTTCGGGCTGTCTCCCCCACCGGTCCGGGGGCAGGAGGGGGGCAGCGGGGCTTGCTCATAGTGCCTGCATTGCCGGTGCATCTCAGGGTCAGGAGAGCGGCCATCTCCCCTGTCCCGTGTGTGTGCTAGGCCGCACTGTCAGCCGCGGCATTGGCGGGTCATGCGCGGGTCTCTTACCCTCCTGCCACCTGCGTTCTGTTGCAGGGAGCTTATGGGTATGTGGTATCGGTGTTTGTTCCGCTGGAAACCGTCTCAGGTCGCTTATATCGCCATTATCGAGCGGGAGCTCTTGAGAGATACGTCTTGTCGCCATGATGGTTAGGCCCCGCCCACCCTACATGTGCTTTTTTGTATATAGTGTCTGTGTGAATGCATAGGTGACAGAGTGTATGAGGGAGAAGGTGGAAGAGTGAGGGGGTACCTGGTGGCAGAGTGAGGGAAGGAGGGGTTGAGTGGTGGCAGAGTGAGGGGGAGACACAGTGAGTGGGGGTGACTAGTGACAGTTAGGGAATGGGTGACTAGTGGCAGAGTGGGGGAGGGAGGAAAGATGACTAGTGGCAAAGTGAGGGAGGGAGGAGGTGACTAGTGACAGAGGGAGGGAATGACTAGGGAGGGAGTGACTAGTGACAGAGGGAGGGGGTGACTGTCACTAGTCACCCCATCCCTCTCTGTCACTAGTCACTCCATCCCTCTCTGTCACTAGTCACTCCCTCCCTAACTCTGTCACTGTGAAGGAAGGGATGACTGGTGACAGAGTGAGCAAGAGAGTGGGTGACTAGTGACAGAGTGAGGAAGGGGGTGACACAGTGACAGTGAGGAAGGGGGTGACACAGTGACAGAGTGAAGGAGGTGGTGACTGTCACTAGGGTGACTAGTGACAGTGAGGGGGTGACTAGTGACAGAGTGAGGGAGGTGGTGACTGTCCCTAGTCACCCCCTCCCTCACTGTCCCTAGTCACCCCTCCCTCTGTCACTAGTCACCCCTTCCTCACTCTAGTGACAGAGGGAGGGAAGGGGTGACTAGTGACAGTCACCACCTCCTTCACTGTGTCACCCCCTTCCTCACTCTGTCATTGTCACCCCATTCCTCACTCTGTCATTGTGTCACCCCATTCCTCACTCTGTCTCACCCCACTCTGTCATTGTGTCACCCCATTCCTCCCTCTGTCATTGTGTCACCCCATTCCTCCCTCTGTCATTGTGTCACCCCATTCCTCCCTCTGTCATTGTGTCACCCCATTCCTCCCTCTGTCATTGTGTCACCCCATTCCTCCCTCTGTCATTGTGTCACCCCATTCCTCCCTCTGTCATTGTGTCACCCCATTCCTCCCTCTGTCATTGTGTCACCCCATTCCTCCCTCTGTCATTGTGTCACCCCATTCCTCCCTCTGTCATTGTGTCACCCCATTCCTCACTCTGTGACAGTGAGGGACGGGGTGACTAGTGACAGTGAGGGACGGGGTGGGAGGGGTGACTAAAGCCTACCTTTCTCTCTGCTCCTTGTGGTCTCCCCAGGCTGCTGCTCCTTCCCCTCGCTGGGCTCTGTGTGTGAGGAGAGTACAGGAAGTGATGTCACTTCCTAGCCCCGCCTCTCCCATCACACAAAGCACCGCTGGACAGGGAGAAGGAGACCTGGCAGAGAGGAGGTGAAGCTGCCAGGTCTCATGGGAGGGGGATGGATTTAAAGAGTGGTAGGTTGTGGGGGCCCCGCGCTGCATCAGGGGCCCCACAACCTATCAATTAAATAGTTTTATTTTATTTATTTTTTCGTTCCAGTTGGAGAGATCTCTGATCTGATCTCTCCAGCTGGAGCATGGCTGTGCTGCCGGGCCCCTGACTGCCTCGGTCCATGACCGAAATGCCCGAGCGGTCAGTCCGCCCCTGAATGTGAGTGTGTGTGTGTATTTAGAAGGTGGGGGAGGGGGTGCCTGGGTTTTGTCCTGCCAAGGGCAGCACAAAACCAGGATACGCCACTGTGTGTCTGTATACACACACACACATATAAACACGCATGTTATATAGAAAAATATTCTGAGGGTTGCTGTGTGTAGCTGGCCGAGACACTGCCCATACCGGTGTACAACACCAGTTGGAATGGCTGCACACATGAGAGGGAGACTGCCAGCGCAGTCAGTGAGGCCCTAGCGTGACTGTCTCTGTCCGAGACATCCTGCCACATGCAGGGGAGGAGCGGAGGAGCAAAGTGATTGCCCACACAGAGATACACATAAGTACTCACTGACACAAGTACACATACAACCTTCTGTACACACATATAAATAACAATTTACATGTTTTCTCCACCCTCCTATTTACTCACTCTTGATGCAGCAGGATTGATATCCTGAGGTCCAGTTGGAGCTGGCTGCCCTCTGATGAAAGTCCCTTTCCTCCTTCACGTGTGCAGCAGTAGGTTTGTGTTGCCGCCGCCTCCTCCCCACACGCCGCCCTGTCAGCTGGGACTTGGGAGGAAGTGATGTGAACTCCCTTCCAGCAGGCCGTGGGTGAAGAACAGACCAAAATGGGCCGCAGAGAAGAGGAGTTGAGTGCATACAAAACGCCAGTGACCTGGTTGGGGGAAACAAAATAAGAAGGGGCCCGGCCGCTGCAATATTAAAGGGCCGTGAGCCCCTGATTAAACTTGTATGGGCTCAAGGGGCACCTTAAAGACGGCCCTGCCCGGCGTGAGCGCTGAATGCAGGCAGCTGGCAGCTCTGGGTATAGGGAGGCCTGTGGGGCAATTGCCCCTGTCCCAGCCCACCCCTGATCTTCAGGTTACCTCCAGTGGCAGAAATTCTTGGTCCTCGTGAGTGCCCAGGCCTTGGGGAATCGAGGGTCGTTGCATAATCACAAACCTTGGAATCGCTCTGCGGCCTTACTATCAGACTTTCTTACAGTAACTCTTGTGATTCAGCCGAAAGCCTGCCTTATCCCCTCATCTACTAAAAATGGGCGCATACCTGCCTTTCTGTCTCACAAAGTTAAAAGATGGGAAATAAAATCACTTAATCGTTTGCGATGTAGTAATGCTAAGTTTAACCCCGATGGCTTTACTCTACCACCACTTCTATAGCATGTCATAGGATAATCATACCTTGTATCTACAATCTGCTTATGCCATGCTTTGTTTTGCACTATTCGGTCTGTCACTGAATCTTACGCAAATGTCTATCCACTCCTGACTAATTATTCCCACATTACTGTTGACATAGACATGCCAGCCTAGCTTGTTTAAATAATAAAAGTTCACTTTTTATGCCACTGTTTTAGACGTTATATGCATGCCTATGCCATTGTGGCGTTAAATGCTGATTTGTACTTATATGAACATCAAAAATAAACATAAAAATAAAAAATAGGGCTACTTAAAATCCCTTGTCTCTGCAAACATACATTGGGGTTTAAAGGACCACTATAGTGCCAGGAAAACAAACTTTTTCCTGGCACTATAGTGCCCTGAGAGTGCCCCCAGAAACGGGTTGAATGGAGAGGAAGGGGTTAAACTCTCCTTTCTCCAGCTCCCTCGGCGCTGGGGAGTCTCCTTTGGCCGCGCGTGCATTCAGTCAGTCCATAGAAAGCATGCTCAATGCTTTCCTATGGACGGCAGCGTCTTCTCACTGTGAAAAATTGGTGAGAAGCGCCTCTAGCGGCTGTCAATGAGACAGCCACTAGAGGCTGGATTAACCCATTTGTAAACATAGCATTTTTATTTTTTCTATTTCCATTTTTTTTCACTTCTTAAAGGCACAGTACATCTTATATTTTATATTTATATTGCACTTTCTATTACCGTCATATTTTGGCCATAATCACAGGTCAGCTCCTGGTATTTGCACACTCAGGCCCGGACTGGCCATCGGGCACACCGGGCAAATGCCCGGATGGCCGTGATGGCCGTGGGGCCGAGGCAGGCAGAGGATCTCCCCGGCCGGCTCCTGCAGGGCCAGCAGTACCCGAGCGCCGGCCCTGCTGTGTGTCTCCATGGGCCGGTGGGGAGATCAAAGATCTCCCTTTACCGGCCCAGAGACACTTCCAGGCAGCCGCTTGCTGGGGTGTGAGGGAGGGAGGAAGGAGAGGACCGGCGGAGCTCTATCCAGCAGCTCCGCCGGGTCCTCTCGCGGGATTCTGAGCATTGCTGCGGTTACTTCAGCAACGCTCAGATCTCGCGAGAGTGAACTCTAGCCTACAGGCTAGAGTTCACGCTCACCACTAGGACCACCAGGGATCAAGCAGCATGGCTCTCCCATGGCAGAACGGCTCCCCCCCCGTCCCAGGCAAAACGGTTAGTTATTACCCCTTTCCCCCTTCCAGAGCCGGACGGGAGGGGGACCCTGAGGGTGGGGGCACCCTCAGGGCACTATAGTGCCAGGAAAACGAGTATGTTTTCCTGGCACTAGTGGTCCTTTAATCCTCTATATATCCTCTATATCCTCTACACACTCTGGGTCCTTTACACACTAGATCTCCTACACACACACACACTACATTCCTTGTCAGCAAACACATACAACATTCTCTAAACACACCCTCTCTACAACCCCTACACACACACACCACAGCCCGTATGCACACACTCGCTACATCCCCTATAACACTATGCCCCCTATACACACACACTCTCTACAGCCCCTAGCCACACATTACACCACAAACACAAATGAAATTGACCTATTTACACAATACCACACCACACTCTACACACAAGCAATCCCACAAGCAGGTTTCAAACACATGCACCATACACTTTCCTGGCCCTTTTGTCCTCTGGTATCCCACTTGTTGAGACACCAGAGACAATTTAAAAGCAAACACAGTGCAAGCATGTTATTAAATTTGCTTGCGCTGCGCAGAACAAATACAGGGCCTTTTTCTAATGCCAGAGCTCTTCAGCGCAGCTCTGCGCATCGAACCTACATGCTCACTTTGAGAGGAGGCGTGCTTGTCATTAGTGATGACAAAACACACCCTCTCTGGCCCCGCCCCCTTCTTAGGGGGCCGCTCTGATTGAAAAATGCCCGGGCCTAATTTTTTTCCCAGTCCGGCCCTGTGCACACTATTCCAGATTGTTCTCTCTGCCAGTGATTTAACTTTGCTTACGCTGCATTCTAACAGTGAGGGTTTAAATCCATGATTGCAGTGCTCACTTTGTGCTCTGCAAATAGTCAGTCTATGGCCACAAATTCTGTTCCCAGCTGATGGAGGGGATCCCCCAAATATAAAGCTACCTGGGGCTCCTTGGTACCAGCAGGGATTAAAGCCCTGCTCGAACTTTTACTGCAGGAGTCTGCCGTCACTGGGCATTAATGCCCTGCAAATTTTTTTTTTTTTTGTCTTCCTTTACCTGATACACACCCTCCTTTGCACTGCTATCTAATTCACTTTTCAATTTGTGACCACTTCCTCTACCAGGAGCAGCATTAGTTGTGTGTACATCCAGCCATCTATTTTTGTGGAATGCAGAAAAGTATATTTAGGTTTACTTATCCCTTCACATCCACAAAGTCCACTTGCTTGTCGCTGTCCCTGCTTTCAGAGTATCTCTGCGTACTCCAACCAAAGCAAACAGGAACATTGTTGCACACAGGCAAGTTACTGTGTTTCAGATACACATGTGCAAAGCATTCCACAGCAGCACCCATTGTTTGTCACATTATGGACAAATTGATTGGGGCACAGTATGCATGGTAACGGTTTTTAAAAATAAAGGATGGGACTAAACTGTTGTAACGTG